TCTCTCTCTCTCTCTCTCTCTCTCTCTCTCTCTCTCTCTCTCTCTCTCTCTCTCTCTCTCTCTCTCTCTCTCTCTCTGTGTCTGTGTGTGTGTGCGTGTATTTCACACCCCCGATCTTTCCCTTCGCTAATCGTTATCAACCACTCTCTCTCTCTCTCTCTCTCTCTCTCTCTCTCTCTCTCTCTCTCTCTCTCTCTCTCTGTGTGTGTGTGTGTGTGTGTGTGTGTGTCGCGCATCTAACTCGAAAATAAACTCGCTACATGTGTCTCGCCTCCCCCGCGAGTCGCCATCATCAACGCACGCACAAATAAATTCCAGAAGTACATACAAATACAATGGAGGGGCCGCGAAAGGGACAAATATATGACATCGGAGACGGGAAATGAGGAAGAGAAGCGATGGGGAGGGAAAATGGGGAGAGAGAGCATTAGTGGGTTCTACCCGAACCCCATTTCCTTACCTTGGACAGCGTTTGAATGATTTACACCGCATGCTTGCGTGAGTGTGGCGTGCGTTAGCGCATGCGCGCGCGCGCGTTCTCGTCGCCCCGTGCAACAAACAAAAGATGTCTCGACTACTATGACACCAATCACCAAGTGTCGAACAACAGACGTACCTACGTGGCATAATAACAGCCATACACGTAAGCCGGGGATCCGAAGAGTTGTCATCGCCACCGTGGAAAAGTCGCCTTATCCGCAACTGAAGAATTTTGGCCGTCGTTGAGCCGAAGTTGTCGAAATGGCCGCACTATGGACGTATCTGACTGCAATTACGGCCAGAGGTGGATGCATCTGACCGCGATCACGTCCAGAGCCCAGTCGAAAAGTCCTCGTGTGAGGACGCGCCTGAAAAAAAACAGTATCTCGCTTCACACGGTCCTCGATTAGAAGTCGCTCTTGTCATGGCACAATAAGTCCCGGTCCCGATATCCATGGCACTGCTCAAGTCGGTATAGACAATGCCCCCCCCTACACTCACGGCCCCTATATCCATGGTACGGGTATCGCCATAGCCATGACCTTAAGAAGCTTAATAGTCATGTACCCATATTACCGATGGTCCCTTCGCCATACCCATAGCACAGCGACAGAACATAGGCATAGGACATAGCCATCGTATAGCCATAGGACGACACCCATAGTGCTGATGATCTTTGCCATAGCCATTCTACATAACGATCGGACACAGCCATCGGACGTTGCCATCGGAATGTCGATGGGCAATAGCCATAGTACCGATGATCCCTTCGTTATGGTCATAGCATAGCAATAGCACATAGCCATAGGACTAAAGGCTTGACATCAATGGCTACAGGACATAGCCATAGGATCGCCATAGCACATAGCCGTCTCACAGAGCCTTGGACGTAGGCATAGGACTAAAGGCTTGAGAGCAATGGCTACAGGACATAGCCATAGGATCGCCATAGTACATAGCCATCTCGCATAGCCTTGGACGTAGCCATAGGATAGCCATAGTGTCAATGGTCCTTTGCCATAGTCATAGCACAGCAATAGAACATAGCCATAGGACTGACGTCTCTCCATAACAATAACTCTAGAGGACATAGCCATAGGATCACCATAGTACTAAGGGCTCCAGAGCTGCAGAGGCATCATTAGGCAGGTTATAGCACGATGGTATTATGACTTCTGTGGAGTGTTTCTATGGCTATGGAATCCAGAGGCCGGGAATTTGAGAACCATAGGTAGTTCCATGGCGATAAGCTCTCCATCACGACAGCACCAAGTGGCAAAAATAGTCTTTCCCATGGGATCGGAGTTTGTTTAGCCAATAGCACATCATCATACTAAACGGCTATAGGAAACGGACTATGGCGCAGTCGCTATAGCCGCCAGAACACTAGGATCACCAGAGCCACAGGTGGGCTACTAAGCGATGGCTATAGTCGACGGACTACTATGACCGAGAGGCTATCGCCACCATAGCACAAGGATCACAACAGAGCCACAGGTGGCCATGGGATCGGAGTTTGTTTAGCCAATAGCACATCATCATACTAGACGGCTATAGGAAACGGACTATGGCGCAGTCGCTATAGCCGCCAGAACACTAGGATCACCAGAGCCACAGGTGGGCTACTAAACGATGGCTATAGTCGACGGACTATGACCGAGAGGCTATCGCCACCACAGCACAAGGATCACAACAGCAGAGCCACAGGTGGCCAAGCGCCTCTACTAGGGCTCCATCGTTCTCACGCCTGCTATGGTATGTAGACAGATGGCTAAGCAAGCTGAGGTGCAGACAAGAGCCTTGGCCGCGATGAACTTGACAGCCTTGGTGAAGATGAGGTCGGTAGGTTCTCTGCGCAGGGAGTACCGAAGCTGCTCTGCCACAAATCTGGCCGTATTTCTCATCTTCTCGACGCGGAAGCTCTGCCCTCCGATCGATATTCGCTCCCCTGATTGTCCTTCCTGCGGCTCCGCAGAGGATGCCACGTCATCACCTCCACCTCCATTGCTTGGCGATGGCGGCAAGCGCCTCTGCGTTCTCAGCACATCGTTGAATGCGATAATGAAAGCTCTGACAGACTGAAAAGACACAGCCCCGGCCACATCCATCACAAACTCTCGATTATTAGGCACCGTAATCACCTTGCAAGCCTTGTCTATCCATCCCTCTTGTTCTTGTTTTCCTCCTCCTCGCCCTCCATCTTCGCCTGATCCTCCTGCTTTAGTGCAGCTGCAGCTCGTACAGGCTGAGGCCCTGTCGTAAACACCCCCCCCCGCACTAACACCATCAACACCAACACCAACACCAACACCATAGCTATCACCTCCTCTTCCTAGCATCCTTCGATCTCCACCACCTCTCATCCTTCCTTTGCGTAATTGCCACCCCCCACTGGGAAACCCCCGATCAGATGATCCTTTGCGGCTACAGCCGGCGCTGTCTAACTCTGCCACGTCAGCATCTTGCCCCACGCCCCCGCCGCCGCCGCCGCCGCGAGGTGTACTCGTGCCCTCTGTGTCTTGATCTTCGGTATCGACCGCCTCGTCTCCCGATCCCAATCGCAGATCGCGGCGAACCGTCACGTTCGTGCTCCCGCTTCCGCACCCATAACTCTCCGCACCGTCATCTCCCAAACCGTCCTCCTCGTCTTCTCCATCGTCGTAATTAACGCAGCAACTGGTCCCTCCTCCTAGCGTTATGGCTGTCATCGCCTCATCAGTGTCCACATGCGTCAGCGGCCCAACAGAGAGGCAGCGGCATCCACCTCCTCCACCTCCACCTCCACCTCCACCTCCACCGCGACTTCTCCGGATCGCGCGATTCCGACTTCCGCACACATCGGACGGCTGGGAGGAGGACGAGAGCACATCGTAAGATGTCCGTACCAGCGTCCCGACTGCCTCGTTGCATACCGACTTCATCAAATCCTTCACGGGCTCGCGGTTGGCAGGCTTGGTGACACTTGTCACGATGTCATCATAAATGTTGACGTCCCTAGTCTGCTCTATGTACACGCTAATGGCCTCGCCGACAAAACTGTTGACGACATCAAGAATGAGTGATTTCCCCTGCTTAGAGCAGGAGAAGCCCAGAAGCACGGCCGCAAGCCCTCCCGCTTCGCCGAACACCTCCTCCCCCTCCTCTTCCTCCTCCTCCTCCTCCCCCCCTCCTCCTCCCTCCTTCTCGTCCTGCTGGAGTTTCATCGCCGCCGCACTCCAGTCGCCTTTCACCAGGGAGCTTGCACTGCACGCCGCCGTCGCCGACCCCGCGGCCCTCGGCTTCTTCTTCCTCTTCTTTACAGGCGCCTGATGCCTCTTCGATGCCGCTATAGCTGCCGCCTGCTCAAAGTAAGCAGACAACAGATTGCGCGCGACGGATCCGACCACGGCGGAGGCAAAACCCTTACCCGCGTCCGAAAACATCTTATCCAAAACCCTATCAACGAAAGCTTCAGCTCCCCCTCCTCCCCTTCCTCCTTTCCCGCCAAAACCGCCACCGCAAGAGAACCCTTTCGCGCCATCTTTTACCCCCGCGCCACAACCAGCGCCTGCCGCCGAATCTTCCCCCGCCGCTGGCCCCACACCTAGTTCCTCAGACTCGCGAAACGTAGCCCCTCCTCCATTCAGGTCTCCTCCGCCCCCTCCCACCCCCATTCCTGCCAATCCCCCCGCTCCCGCGTGAAATTTCTTCCACACAGCCGCCGTTTCTACAACTCCGTTGCGACCACCTCCTCCTCCTCCTCCTCCCCCCACAGACACCTCCCATCTATAGGTACTACTACGTCCACCATCACCGGAGAAACCAGGAGGAGAGGCGCAGCAAGAAGCACAAGAGGGAGATAGACTAATTACCCCCCCCCCTCCTCCCCCCGCACCCATCAGACTGGGTTCAAGGGTCCTTACCGCTCCGAGAATCGCTCCACGGGTAAGAGACTCCGCCAGCCCGGCGAAAGCCCCTTGAATCTCTGGCGCTTGACTTAATTTGAATAGCTGACGAATGCTACGTGGCACTTCGTCAGTGGGCGAGAGTAGAAAATCGTTCAGGTCCGCAGCTATGGTGGCCATGATGTCCCCGCTCGTAGATACGGCATTGCTCATATTTGCGAGTCCCGACAAGAACTTATCAACGGCCGCTTTCTTCTCTGCCACGTAGCGGGAGTTGTACGCCTTGTAGGCAAGGTAACCGCCTCCCGCAATTCCCGCTGACGTCAGCAAAATTGTCCTGGTCCGCCAGCCCAGGAAAGAGCTTCTTCTCCTCGCCATCGATCTCCCGCCGCTGCTGGTGATCTCCATCGTTGAAGCTCTCTCTCCCTGCCGTCCAGTTCGATGCCCTCAGGAGAGCAAAAACCGCACTAACCTTTTTCACTCTTCTGTACCTTGCCACCACCGTACCCTCTCTCTCTCTCTCTCTCTCTCTCTCTCTCTCTCTCTCTCTCTCTCTCTCTCTCTCTCTCTCTCTCTCACCTTGTCGCCAACGCACAATCTCTCTCTCTCTCTCTCTCTCTCTCTCTCTCTCTCTCTCTCTCTCTCTCTCTCTCTCTCTCTCTCTCTCTCTCTCTCTCTCTCTTTCTCCCTCTTCTGTACCTTTTAGATAGGTAACCCACACAGAAGCAGATAGCCAGTCCCGTAAACAGTACTAACCCTCCATTTCAAACGTGCCATCAAGCACGCTAGGCGATGATGAAGAAAAAGGACACGTGTCACCACGCCCGGGGGTGGGGGGAGGGAGGGGAAAACGAGCGTGAGACCACGTTCTCGCTGGATAAGTTAGCTGCAGCCCTCCACTGACCGATAAGAGAAGGTCCGTCCTGGAGTAGAGACTTCCTCTCTCGCTTTCCTACCCCAAATTCGCGCGCCGCCTTATGTACGCTTTATGTCCGCATCATATCTGCCGAACGTAGGTTCTGAAGGGCAGCACCAGAGAAGAGATATCACAAATCACGCACACAAAAGAAGAAGAAGAAGAAGAAGAAGAAGGAGTCTGCTGAAGAAGAATAACAACAACAACAACAACAACAACAAGAGGAAATAAGGATTCCGCTGTACACCCTTCCAGAGACAGAGGCGGTGATTGGAGCAACCGCAGAAGAATAGAAAGAAGAAGAAGAAGAAGAAGGAGGAGAAGAAGGAGAAGACTTAACGGGCACAAGCTCAAGAAAAGAGAGAAAACGCCGGAGAACAGAGGGAGGGAGGAGAGAGAGGACATAGAAAGGGGGTCGCATAAAACAATCAGAATTATGACTCTACCTGCTCACGCAAAGCCAAACGAGAACAGCAACCATAGCCACAGAAGACGAGGCTTCATTCGTTAGCAGCCGAAGAGAGAAAAAAAAAAAAATCAGAAAGGGACATACAGCATCACGCTGGCCAATATGGAACGGGCCTTTCAAAAAAAAAAAAAAAAAGACATAGTCCCTCTGAAAAACCAAAACGATGATTCGATTTTTAGAAAACAGAACACAAAATTTCCCACGATGGAGAGCTCTTACAGGGTGCGGGGAGGCATGGAATATGGATATGGATGGAAGAACAAAAAGAAGACTATATATACATATATATACTATTTGACGATATATACTAATTGATTGATTGATACGTAATACTGTAAATCTATAATAGGCAAATGAAGAACTTCTTCATTGCTTCCGCTGGCTCATCATATCTTCAAGACTTTAGGTTCCCAACTACCCGCGCACACAGCAATCAACCCAAGAAACGTCAAGTTGGGTCAACAAACAGGAGGTGGCGGAGGAGGAGGAGGAGGAAGACGAGGACGAGGACGTAGCCAATTGCCCGCTACTTGCAAGAGCCGCCAACCATCCCACGCAGGTAGAAGGTGAAGAGCAATGAAGAAATGAGAGGAGGAAGAAGAAGATGATAATAAGAGAGAAACCTATTTCACACCTCCTCCCTCCTCCCACCTCCAGGAGCTGTTGAATGCGTCATCGCCAACAAGAAGGTGAAGCCGATACGGAACACCAAAGCAATAAAAAGAGACAAAGATACACAGTAATAAACTAAACGAGGACCATAAGATTTGAAATAAAGAAGAACCCCGCCGATGAATGGAGGAAAAAAATAATAAAAAATAAAATAAGATAAAAAAATCCAGCGGCCTAGCGCAGTTGGTAAGGTACGCAAGTGGAATTCAGGACGTCTTGGGTTCAATACCCCATTCCCCTCGTGTACCTGCCTGGACAAGCGTGGCGCTCGCCACCTACATAGAGAGATGCCGTTGGGCCTCCCGAGTGGCATTGAGCAGAGACTGCTGGTGTTCATAGGGGGAGGGGAGAGGAGGGGAGCGGAGCGGAGGGAAGGGGCACACTGACTGGCCCATCGAAGACGCTCGGTCCTGATGCTACCGGCTGACACGTGGCCGGTATCGCCAACCTGCTGGTAGCAGGTGTCGCACCTGCTGCTGGTGGGCGCAGCTCCCGCATG